TGTGCTATGGTACACCCATATGTTGAAAGACTATTCAGCAATAACAAGTAACCACTGATACACACCAAAACTGAAAAAAAATCTCAAAAGCATTAAGTTAAAGAAGACTACAAGGGCTGGGGATATAGCTCAGTGGCACAAGCTCCTGCCTGGCAAGCGCAAGGTCCTGAGTTTGATTCCCAGTACCAAAAAAAAAAAATAGACCTCAAGAAGACTACAATCTGTATGATTCTATTCATAGGAAATCCTAGAAAATGCAAAGTTATAGTGACAGAGCAGATCAGTGATGCCATAATTCTTGTAAATAGACAAGAATTAACTGAACAAGCAGCAAAGGAAATGTTTAGGTTGATGGAAATATTTAGCATGATGGTTGCATGACTGTATATGTGTCCAAATGTGTCACATTTTTGATGAATTTTACTATATGAAATCAGTAAATACAATTTTTAAAAACGATGACGTGTTCCTATTGTTTCTTCAGTTCTGACAGTCTCTAACTTCTGCCAGGTCCAGTCTGCTCTAGTACTTAATAGAGTTTCTGCATTTAATTATAGAAATTTAAATTATAAATGATCATTTAGGCCTTTACTTCATTTTTTTATGTGTATGGGAGCTGGATGGAAAATTTTCTAAGATTATATGATAAAGGGTATAAGATAGTCCAACTTCCAGATGGACTAAGTTCTTTTGGAAATGGCCTCTGCACTTCAGAGACATAAAAACAAGCTGATTATGCACCAAATGTACACAGAGCAACATGGCTATATCATAAAACACAATATGCATTTAAAAACAAAAGAAAAAATTAAGTCTAGTGCCATACCATTTGTGTCAACTAATAATACATGTACATAAAGCACGTTTTTCTGGGTCACACAAATAAAGGGCTATTGAACATATTAGGACACGGTAAAGAGGGGAATAGAAATAAGGAAGGGTGCTAAAAGGCAATTAATTTTTAAAAATAATTAAATAAGTCAACCTAAAAAGCTCTTCTATAGACCAATGACATTGTGCTGTGTTTTTGTGATTTGAAGACTACGATTAATTAATTTCTTCTTGGCATGAAAGGTCTAAAAGCATCCCCACAAAACTAAGACATACTTAACATTAAATCCCAAAAAATATATGTGATGGTGTTTTGTATAAATATTAAAATTAGTTCATTTATCCACGTTACCAGATGAACATTTTTATTGGGGAAAACACCCATGATTTTTATAATAACACAAAATGGATGGTCTTATATTGTAGCATTCTCAATCATACTCACCCAGATATTAGAAATTAGAAAAAATACAAAAGGAAAGCAGAATTGAATCAGATATATGCAATAATGGAACAAAACCTATTTTAAAGCCAAATGAAATACAACATTTTTTTCTGGAGGGTCATTGAAAGATAATTATATGGATAAACATATACATTTGAATAAATACACATATCCATTGAATGCTTATTGATATGGGATATATATATCTCCATATATCTATAGATATAGACATCTTTAAACAAGAAAGACAAGTGTGGTCCTTTGTTAACTTCAAGAATAGAAATAACATTTTTAGTAGAACAAGGCAAGTATGTAAATGGTCCTTTCATTTCAAATAAATCTAGAGTAGTATTCATTCCCTTTATCTAATAAAATGTAGATAAATATGAATAAGCTCTCAATTAAAATCTGTTTTAACAAAACAAGAAGAAAGAAATGCAATAAATATTTGATAAACTGAGCTGAAGAAGGAAGAAAACTGTATTACCTCTCAAGAGACTTTAGGGATTTATTTGCCTAAAATTTGATTTTATTGATATGGAATAAAAAAAGAAATGTCTGAAAGGAAGAAAAAAGACTGGTAAAATTCTGCTCCCATGTAAGCTGCTCAATTAGGTTAATTACTGGGAAATGAGTCCCTAAGGTTTGCTACTATCACAGAACAGAGCTTTCAGATAAGCCCCTTTGTCTAGTACCATATCAGTTACCTGGGAGCCAAAAGTTTATGCCCCCTTTGCTTTCAGTATCATTTTATAGAACAAAATGAATGCAGTCTTAGGCACATATCAAGAATGTCAAATTTAATATTTCTCCAAAATAGATACAATAACCCATTGGCAAAGGTTTGACGCCAAGCCCTAAGCGATCAGAGGCGTCAGGAGCAGACTTGTTCAGCAAGTTCCACACAAGAGAACAAGCTATCTGGAGCAGGGCAAGTCTCAGGTAACACTTTTAAATGAATGGGCTGATTTTGAGACTATTTCTATTTGGAACAGCCAACACTTATTTTTCAGTTTCTGTTAATTGCTGTAGATGAGTTCTTCCACCTGCTATCATCTTCCTTTGAAGAATGAGGGACATTCTGTCCCTCCATGACCGTATGGTGCTAGTGGAAATGGTAGAGGCGGGGGATCTAGTCCTCATATCTTTAAATAAAAGGAAGAGATGACTTTCTGATTTTACTGTCTCCACTTTGCCTTTGACTTGCCATAGTTCATACTGAGACACTGTGTTCACGCCGTAAGTGTCAAACTGTTGAGAAGTTTACCTCTTTTTCCTTTAAATCTCACTTCAGACATGTGAAAGAATGTACAGAAGACAGATTACTTAGAAACTGTGAATCTTGTAAAAACAACAAAAAAAGATCAAAACATAAACTACAAACTAAAACCCGCAAGGAAACCCTAAAATACAAAGCAAATGAAGGTCATTTTCAAATTATGTACTGATTGTTTCTTATCAGTTGTATTATACCATGTTTTTTGGGTTTTTTTTGATGCCCGGAATTAAACTTAGGACCTTGCGCATGCCAGGCAGGCACTGTGCCACTGAGCTGTATCCCTGGCCCTGTCTTACTACTCTTACCTTTCTGGGAACATTGCTTTCATATCTTAAGTGGCTCTTTGCTAGGAGTAAAGGAAAAAAGTGAGCCAATCAAATCACAGTTCCTGCTCACTTCATACAACGAGAAGTTGCAGCAGAAGTACAGTTTAGGACAAAAGAAGGACAATTTCTTGTGATTAATATATCATAGAGTTTGCTGGAACACTGTGTCAAATTTATGTGAACTTTTAAGACAGTTCAGAGCATTTCATATTTGTAAACATCTCTTTGAGCGACATGTTTTTCCCCCGAAATATTAATTTTTTCTCTGCCATCAGGAATATTTCACTGTGAAAGTCCAAGAATACTGGTACAGTAGAAAAATATACCTCCAAAATCAATTACCCTGGACCTGGTGTCATACACATGGGTTCAAGTCCTAGATCTGCTCATTTCATACAACTGTACCCTGGCCAGGTCACTCATCTTTCATTTTCTTATCTGCACATTGAAAACTTACCACCTGTGATAGTATATACCTCTTTAACTGTAAGTTTTTATTAAATGCAAGATATAAGTAATATTTTATTTATGGTATGAGTGGCTAAAGCCACTACAAATAATAATAGAAACCCTAGAAAAATATAAACTCATTCTTCAAAAAAGTATGATTTCTCTCCAATGCTATAGTCCTTCCTTCTATTAAAAGATATGAGACTAGCGGGACAACTCAGCTTTCTTAGTGTCACAGAATGGAAAAAGGTAAGGGAGAATTACTGAAAATTAAAGTTGCAACAAGATAGAAGATACAGACTACACTTATTCCTTTGAGAAGAGGCAAGCACGGCCCTAGGAATTAAGAGGCCTGGACTTCTCCATTATTGTTGTTGGCAAGGCAAGATCAACACATCACACACTGGCCGTTCACAGCTGTGCTGCTTTGGCAGCCAAAACAACGTTCCGGCTCACTCTGCTGACAAAACTCTGAAGAGCGGAGTTGCCCACCGAAAAGCACGAAATCTGCAGTTGGGATAGGTAATGGACCTACATTCCAGACTCAAAGTTTACCAGATCCAAATGCAAGAAAAGCGACTATTTCAGCATAGTAAAAGAGCAATTCTTTAATTTTGACATACAGTGGCAAATTCTACTTTATTTATGTCTTCTTTGATAAATTCAACTGTGTGAGTAAAAAGTAGAATTAACTGTCACAAAGGAAGGACATATTAAACATCCTCAGCCAGGGACTTTCTTTTCCACCAAACAGCAACCGTACATTGTTGGCCCTACTGAAGTTATTTGTACGAAACCTTCTGGCAAGTCCACAGGATGGAGTTGGCCAAACGGACTCTCAAGATAAGGACCTTGCAAATGGTTCTAAACATATGATCTGTATTACAGTTAGTCTCGGACAACATGATCTTTATCAAAGTTTGTCTTAAGTTTTTCCAACTCTTGACATTCAAATACTCTTTTGCTCCAAATGAATTAATGTGATAATCAGTTTTTTGAAATAGAGGTCACTACAGAGAATGCAGATGAACATTTGTCTGTTATCAGAGCACCAGTACAATTTTAATAAAAATGTTGGAAGATGTATCCATTCAAATTAATTTAAGAAAAAGAACTTCACTATTTCCTGAGAAAGCAAATTGATATTTTTTTCCTTTGACTTCTTAATACTTTAGAAAGAAGGACAGTAATAAAACCCTTAAATAAATTATACAATGCAGCAATATTTGGTTTGGTCTTTAATGAGATATTTTATAGGCATTCTAGAATGATAGCACATCTCTAAGTCATCGACTCCTCTAACTCTGACTTCCTGGGAGTGTAGATGTGCTGAGACACCACAGAATGGGAAAGAAAACTGGGCACCATGTTGTCACTGACATTAATAAGCTCTGTGATCCTTAACCTGTCTTGATCTCAGTTCTCTTCACTATAAAGCTAACGCACCTACTGCTATCCATGTTTCTAATTTTTTCTCGTTCAGCTTCTAACCTAAATAATGTTCTGTGTGCATTTAGTTGCGCAAATTCTCCCCAAGCATCTGTGACCCAGAAATGGCAAGTTCTGAACAAGAGAATCATTAAGGGCCTCATGAAATGTTAAACATTCTTTTTCTAGAGTCGGAACAACGAAGGGAAAGGGGAAGGAAAGATGCACAAGAGCTACTTACTTTTCAAAGAAATACCTGATGACCAGCAAGAGAAAAGCATATGGAATTGTCATATACAGATGAGAAGGTTTGACAAAGACGAGCCCATCATGATCTTCAAGGTCTGACCACTTCATCGTTGGGGGAAGCCAAAATCTTTCCAGCCAGAACCATTCCTTAAATGCCTGAAACATTCTAAACCAATGGAAAAAGAATATATTAGACTTAATCAAATCACTTAAATTTGCACTTAAAATTGAGATAACATTGTTCACCTTCACTCAAAATACCTAACCCGGAGAATTTTACAAATGAAACAAGAATTAAATACTATGATTTAATAGGTTTTATCACCCTTTATTACATTAAAGAAGAATTACTCTTCTAATAATCTCAGATCAGTTTTGACTATGGCATACAAAACTGAACTTTAACATACAGTAGTAAACCTACAGTAAAAGTATGTTCACACTTCGGGGGTCACGTGTGAATATTACAGTTATGTATTTGCCTCTTATGTGACTCTATGGTATTAAAAATAATAACAAGCTGTACAACTTTAAAATGTCAAAAGTCAATCTCTTGAAAGCTCTAAAAATCTTCATTAATAAGAATCTTCACTAGCACCCTAAAAAATTTTCTAGATGACAAAGGACAGACACATTTCATTTCATATTTCAACAAGGAGTTCAAAGGAGTCCATGGAAATAACTATTTTGGACACTGTATTATTGTGAGGCACTGTGTAGGCATGGGGGATGCAAAGCTTAATTAAACGAGGTTCCCACCTTGGAGACTAAAGTCTTCAGGGCAAACCAGGCCTGAATAAGTAACTGTGACACTTTTTTTAGGTACACTAAGAAAGGTATGTGTAAGAGGCTTTGGGAAGGTGATGATGGGGACTGAGCCCAGCCAGGAAGCATCACAGTTAGATCATTGGAACAGATGGTCCTTGAAGTATCTTGAATAATAAATGTAAATAAGCCAGGGAAGGTAGAAGAACCGGGAAGAGGGGATCGAAATCTTAAGAAGAGAAAGTACTATGATCAAGAACCAGAAACAGAAAAATACAGAACTAACATTCTGTAGGGAAAACTAAATATTTTTTCTCTGGTCTCACACAGGTCAACACAGATTTCTGTAATCCCAAAAGGTGTGGGGACTTCTCCCCACCAGCAAGCAAACAGTTCTGGAGCAGTGAACACCAACTGAGTGTCCTCTAATTCAACTCTGAAACTATTTACGTGGAAATAGCATTAGATCCCATAAGGTTGAGGGCTCCTCCCTCTACCTCAGATGCCAGCCTTAAGTTCCAGATTATTTTACTTGTGCTTCTAACAACTGGCTATTCATCTGGCTTCTCATTCCCCCTCCTTCAGGTTCAGTTAATTTGCTAAAGTGGTATACAGGACTTAGGAAACACATTCACTAGCTTATTACCAAGGCTATTGCACAAGGTATGAGGAATAGATGCATAGGGTAAGCCAGATGTGGTAGCACATGCATTTAATACCAGCACTGGAGAGGCTGAGGCAGGAGGATTGCTGTGAGTTTGAAGTAAGCCTGAACTGCAGAGCAAGACCCTGTCTCCAAAAACAAGCAAACAAACAAAAAGGCATAGGGTGAGGCACATGGGAAAGTGCATCTACTGCTCATGTCCTGTCTGGGTGTACCACCCTCAGGAACCTCCATGTAGCTAATTGCTTAGCAGCTCTTCCAACCCTGACTTTGGAGGGCGTTTATGGCAACTTCATTATATCAGTATGATTAAGTCATTGGCCACTGACAATCAACTTAGTCTTCAGTCCTTCTGCGCTCTTTAAGGACTGGAGTTGGGGCTCAAAGTGCAAATTCTCTAATCAATCCCACCTTGGTACTTCCTGGGATCAGCCCCCATCCTGAAGCTACCTAGGGGCTGTCAACCTTCATCAGCCAATTCATTAGCATACAAAAGACATTATCACCTCCTAGATTCCAAGGATTTTAGGAGTCCCATACCAGGAAACAGGGGTGACGACCAAATGTATATCCTTCACAGTATTACTTAGTCTATTTATTTATTTATTTTATTTTTCTTTTTTGGTCTTTTTGAGACAGGGTCTCACTGTGCAGTTCAGGCTGGCCTTGAGCTCACTTTGTAGCCCAGGCTGGCCTCGAACTTGCAGTGATCCTCCTGCTTCAGCCTCCCGAGTGCTGGGATTACAGGCATGCGCCACCACGCCCAGCTTACTTAGATATTTTAATTACATTTTTAAACTGTGACTATATTGATCTGGCATGCCAATGTTCAGAATGTTTTGATTTTATCTTTAAATGTTTAATCAGATAAAGGAGTCAAAATGTCCTCAGATTCATAACAGGGTGGACCAAATAACTCCGTCAAGTAACAAGGTGATCTGGAAGTAACAAGGTGTACGTGGAAAACTACCAGGAATTTGCTACCACTACAGCAAAAGACCCAAAGGTGTGGAGTGGCAGGTTACAGACTGCAGATAGGTTCCCAGGTAGTCACAGTTTATTGTCCAGGCCTAATTACTAATGTTTTCCCTTTCTTTCAGAAGTGTTTTGGTTTAGACAATAAATCATATGGTCACTCTCATCAAAAGGCTGGTACACAGAGCTAGGTCACAGAGGTTTTAGTCTATCTAAGGATCTTGGGCCCACTGAAGAGCATTATACAGAGGAACAAAGTAGGAATATATATGAGAAAGGTCACTTTGGCGGCTGGGTTTCCTGTGAGCCCACTGGGCATCTCTGTGCCCGTTACAGAAAGGTGTCCTGCAGACACAGCTCTTCAAATTCAGCAGGCCGAGAGTTGGATCTCAGTCCTACTACACAGCACTTCTGTCCCTGGACAGGCACACTTGTGGTAGCTCTGCTGGCAGTGAACTGCATTTCAGAGGATGGAGGTGCTAGAGACCATCAGAAGCCTGCAGTAACAGATGTAGTCATGAGGCAAAGCTGGTGCTAGCACAGGGGGTCGGGGGAAGAAGAGGCTGGTAGTAATGGCACTTGAGTTAGGACTCTATCCCCAGTACTGTTATAATAACTACTGTGTAAAATAATTTGTTTGCTCTTTAAAAACAACTCAAGGCAGGACAGATTACTTGGCTCAGTATGAAGTAAATCTAATCAAACAGCTTAAGGTGCTATTCGGGACTCCCACTCTAAACTATTCCTTGTGCATTATATGTAAGTGATGAATCAAGATGTGTGGAAAGCCATCATAATTGTAATACCCCACAGCTAAAAACATTTAAAGGGAAACATCAAGAAAACAGAAGTGGAGGACAGCCCTCTGGAAAACGCAGTTGAAACTGAGAATGAATGACGAATATTATTCACTCTTTCCTCTAAAGCATTAAGAACTCTTCTTTTACATCAGACACAAAAACACCCTCAAAATAAATGACAGATCCAGGTACAAGGGTAAAAGTTACAAAACTCTTAGAAGAAAATCTTGGTGACCTTACACATGACAACAGAAGCATAATCAACAACAACAAAAATAGACCAACTACACTCCAGCAAAATTAAAGTCTTCCGCATTTCAACAGATAGCCTCAAGAAAGGGAAAAGAATCCACAGAATGGGGGAAAATACTTGAAAACCATGTACGTGGTAAGGTATTTATATTTAGAATACATAAAGAATCGCTACAACTCAATAATAAAAAGACAAACCAACTTAGAAGTTGGCAAAGGATCAAAACAGGCATCTCACCCAAGAAGATACACAAGTGGCCAATTAGTGCAAGAAAGAATGCTCAGTGTTGTGAGCCATAAGAGAACTGCAAATGAAACCTGTGCTCAAGAATCACCTTTCATACACAGTAAGATGACTATAAGAGAAGTGATGAAAAGTGTCAGTGAGTACGAAGACATTGCTGTCAGCCCCCGCCTCAGATGCTGCTGTTAATGTCAGCTGGTACAGCTGCTGTGGAAACCAGTCTGCAGTGCCTTAAACTGTTAAACATAGTTACCTTATACCCTAGCAATTCTAAGTACCTATTCAAGAAAATTGAAAGGATTCATGTTACAACCTGAATAATCCTTAAAGGCGTTATGGTCAGTGAAAGAGGCCAGATAAACAAGGCCACCAATTGTATGATTCCATGTACGTGAAATGTTCAGAATAGGCAAATTTGTAAAGACAGAAAGTAGGTTAGAGGTTCCTCAGAATGTGTGCGTGTGTGTGTGTGTGTGTGTGTGTGTGTGGTGGGGAAGACTGTGGTCAGAGGGGACTGGAAAGTGGTTTCAAAGGGGGAGGGTGCAGGGTTTTGGAAGAGGATAATGTCAATGTCCAAAAATTGAGTGTGGGTATCGGCTATACAACTCTGCGAATACACTAAAACTCACTGCATGGCACTGAGTGGAGGACTTTCAGTAAGTGAATTGTGCTGGATGAGAATTCTATGTCAAGCAAAATTTCAAAGTTAACATGCTTCTTTCTCAGATCCGTCTCCTTTTAACCTTTCACCTTTTAATCCACAGCTCATTCTGAACTTCACCCTAGAGTGAGGCGAGCTCGTGTCCACAAACCTAGAAAAATATTATAACAGAAAAAAAGACTATCGCTGAGTTCAGACTTGAGCGTGATATTAAAGTTCATGACTTTCTGGGAGAAAAAAATAACAGCATAGAAAGCAAAACCAAGCTCCCCAGAAAGAGTGGCTGTCTGAGATGATTACTGTTCCAGTATAAATGCCCCAAGTATAAATGCCACAAGCTAACATGTTGCTCTAGACACAGGCTGTTTAATCCAGGCTGTCCCTCCAGCCACCCTCTGGACCACCCTTTTTGTTCTCACTCAAGAAGAGATCAGAAGCTAAACAGAGAGAAAGGAGGGGAAGAGACACGGGACAGTACTCTCCCCTGATCTTCCATGCCCCTTCAGGCTGTTACAAGGAAACAAGTCGCACTCTGTTGGCCCCTTGCGAGCTGCTCCTCTGGTCACAAGCCTGTGCTAGCCAGGCACCCTTTCCCTGACCCTAGAGCTGTGGACAGGCCACTTTGGAGGTAGCTCAGTAGGCAGTCCTCACAGAAGGCGGAGAAAATCACCACTATGTGTGGAGTTGATGCACCGTCTTTCCTACCATGGAAGCCATGGTGGATAGCGCCCCACCCGCAAGCACGGCACTGTGCTTAGGCATCCCAAACTGGATGCTTTTCTCAGGAGCCTGGATCCGGAGCAGT